CAGCGTATCAGAAGTAATTTCATTCCATTTTCCAATAACTTTCCATCTCGTATGTAATTTAATCTGTGTTAAATTATTATTATATTCATTATTTGAAGGTAAAATAAATATTAATTATTATTGATTTTCCTTAATCAAAAACCTACATGTATCTAAAATATTTTGGATCTCTATCTATAAATACATGACCATTGTCATCTCTCAGCACTGTATCCTTCTCCGAAAATACTAATGAAAAAAGTGATTCACATCCTCGTAGTGTCTTGCTCGTTGTTTGAAATATTTGACCTCCAACATTAAGCGTCACTACCCTATTACTTGAGGTCCTCTTTGGTTTTGTTACTTCGGGTATTGATGAAACAGTCCTCCTCAAACTTGGTTTTTCTTCTCCTGTTATAACTCCTCTAGAAGATGATGATTGTGGTTCATTTGCAAAATTCACAGTTGCCATTTTTTCAATTTCATTTAAATTATTAATTGTCCTAGATGATGATGGTTCTCTATTTGGTTGTTGTTTTTCTCTAGTTTGTTCCCTAGTTGTTGTTGAAGTTACAATATTATTTTTGGTATTATTATTATTTTGATTTGTATTAATAGTGGAAGGACTCATTGTCTTCATTATTGATTTGAGTATTCCTTTAGATTTGGGCGATAATTCATCTAATTTTTTAACTGCTTCCTCGTAGGTTAATTGGTGATCTTCCGATGGTGATGGTGTTACTGGTTTTGCCGATGAAGATTTCCGATGATTGCCAGATGATCTTTGATTTGAAGATGATGATAATTGCTGCTCTACAAAAGGAGAAGATCGTTTTGGAACGCTGCTACTCCGATGTGGAGAGGAATGAGGTTTACTTGCTGTTGCCATCTCATCAATAGATGCCGTATAGTTACTCCTTGAAGAGGATTTTCCTATTTGTTCTGGACATCCTCTGTCGTTCCTAGTTGATGTGCTCATCAATTTTTTTTTTGATTTTATTGTTTAAGATTTTGGCGGGTGATTTTGGCGGTTGATTACATACTCCAAAGATGATTTACTTGTCAATCAGCAAAACACATTTATGAAGTGGAACATGAACTGAGCTACCTTAGTACCTTAGATCATGGATGTGGTTATGAACAATATTTTTAAGAAGTTAATAAGAATCCCGTGTGGTCCAATGGCTAAGATACCTGGCTCTCACCCAGGAGATCCGGGTTCAATTCCCGGCACGGGAGGATTCATTTTAGTTTTATTTCACTTTTACAAGAATGATAAAATCTCCTCTGGATCAATACCAAAGTTTGCCACTGTAGAAAAGAGATCATTCTCATTGGGAATCACCTTTTCGCTCTCTTCTTTTGCATGGCTCAATCGATTGTGCAAATAACTCACTTGTGGTCTATCATTGAACAGCATGACTTGTCCACATAAACTCAAAGCAGAGGCATAACTCTTTTCCATGATTTTTGC